GAGAGCACCGAAAGGGCCTTCGCTCGAAAAGTCGACGTTCCCTTGTATATTTCATGTAGTTTTATCCCTATCAATCCACAGCTATCCCAATCACAATCTCTGCGTTTCAATACATGGATAAATCCTGATCGTTTTATGCCAAAATATCCCCCATGCTTATGGTATGTGAAAATCAATATAAACACTGCCAGTAACAATGCATTTTTTATACTTTACAGATTTACAAATTGATTTCATTTGTACGCATATAGCTTCATTAATCTTAAACTGTTTACTTTACTGTTTACTATATATATATATATATATATATATATATATATATATATATATATATATATATATATATATATATATATATATATATATATATATATATATAGACAAATCCAAAAAGAGCCATCGCGTGTTTCTATAGGAGGAAAACCTGTGATATTTAGCATGGAATTGATGGTATACCGTTAAATAATTTACAGGGACGAAATGTATAGATGCAAGAATCATAAACTGTGTCCACGATGCGGAATACACGCATGCACCGTCAGTAAAATATTTCATAAAATTATAATGTACAAAAAAGGCAGTACATGCAAGACGAAAATTCCAAAATATGTCTTTCGATGCTGAGGTGTAAATTCCATAAAAATATTTGACAATTTCGACATATTTTACACCCATTGGTTTGTTTAACTGCCTGTGGGTTAAATGTATAGCTCGCTGAAAAAAATGTTAATAATCGCCAACAGCAAATTCCTGTTACTATTTTTAAAAATACTACCCAGTTGTAAATTCGTAATATTGATCGGTACTATATCGGTACTATATATGTGTTGTTGCCACACTCGGCATTCTCATCAAAAGCTTTCGAACATACCCAGTGTGATATTCATATTTGAGATGCATAATCCTTTAACTTTAAACCCGTTTTCCACGAAGCGAAGCAGCTGTTTCCGGCATCACTTATCACGTCAGCAAAAGCGATGTCGATAATTTAAAGGAAAAAGTCGCTTCGTGCGAATAATTTCGCGAATAATTTCGAAATATTTCTAGAGTCTAGGGACAACCTTGTTGTTCCTTCTCACATTTTCAGGAAGGCAATTTGAATGTTGGATGGTAAATCTAGCAAGTATTTTGAACTCTACACAAACTCTAGTTAGATAGTACGTAGACATTCTCTATGCAGAAAAAGATATCAGCTTTTGCTGAATGCTGAATGTAAATATAATGAACAATATATGCGTCAGCTATTGATTAGGTCAGATCACGTAGTTGACTGCCTTTTTTTCGCGATCAACTGAATTTAACACATGAATTTAACACCTGAATTTAAAGCCTGAATTTTACAAGGAATTTAAACAAGGAATTTAAAACCGGTTTCTAAAATCCCTGAATGTCACAAACCATTGCTCGATATCATAGGATACCCCTAGGTGATATGTAATACATCTTAATGTTATATTCTAACCCTCAGTAGCATACAATACCCCTACCTGATACGTAATATCCCTTAATGCCATATACTATTCCTCGATATCATAGGATGCCCCTTTCTGATATGTAATATCCCTTAATGTCATATTCTAACCCTCGATGCTCCAAACTACCACACCACATCAACATCTATCCCCAGAATCTCCAAAAGTTCCAATTTTATTTAAAGTCAAACTTGAGAATACCTACGATAGTCAAGTTTGGTTGGCTGGTTTGGCATCCAGCTAGCTTACGGCGAGTCTACTATATTAAATCGTATACACTCTATTTCACAATGATTGCAGCATATTTTGATGAAACTGTATTCAATATGAAGCATAAAATGTATATTCATCCGAAATATCCAATCAAAATCTAATGAAATCCAATATGTCCATGCAATCAATTTTATATTACGCGGATGTAAAGTTACGGCTGTTCCTTAACGAAAACTCGTTATAAAAAGCGATAATTTAATTAATTATTAAAGCGTATGACAGTATATTACAGTTTTTTTTCAATTGCATATATATGAAGAACTCACTAAATCTAGAAGTGCAAATTGCTACAACTAGAAGTGCAAATTGCATTAAAAGATGCATATATGATATAACACTGGATTTTTTTTCCAACTCCTTAGTACGGAAATAGCATAGATCTTCGTTGAAAATAGTACGGAAGTCCAATTTTCATACTAGTTGCGATTTAGGGACCGGTCATAAAGTATTTACTAGGGGGTGTGGAGGATATTTTTGTGGAGGATATTTTTGTGGGGTACGAAAAATAAGAGAACCTCTGAGGGGGGTACGAAAAAAACAACAGAACCTCTAGGGGGGTACCAAAATCTTAGTACTATAGGTACGGAAAAAATTACATTTTATAACTATTGTTGAATATTGAATGTATTTGTGCCCAGATTTAAGTTTGGAAAGAATTGCTTTACTATAATTATTAAATCAACACAAAATATATGTTTTAGTCTGACTCAATGTCAGATGATAAGTAGGATTCAGTGTCCGTGGAACTTTTGGAGTACAAATCTGATACATTTGAATATATATTGTCAATGCTAGCAAGCTCACACCAGCATTAGAACTTGATGAACCTGATGAGGAAGTGTCACATTGAATGGAAGCAAATTTTTTCTATTTGAAATAAACCAAAAACAATAAGTTTTTCTGTTTGTTCTTGCTCTCAGCCCATCGCTAGTATGTGAGAATCAGAAAAGACTGGTGACGAATCGGAGACTGTGGAAAATGTTGAGGATATGGTTACCATTTACAAGAAGTGGGAGAGTTATCACAAACTGGAGAGTTTCGAAATATAGATAAACGCAAGACAAATGTTAAAACAGAATTAATGATAGAAGGGGGGGGGGGGTATGAAAATTTTCACTTACATTACAGGGGTTACGAAAATTTTTCCATAGGTTTTTGGGAGGGTATGGAAATATGTACTTGAAATTTCATATATCCTCCACCCCCCTCTAGTAATTACTTTATGACCGGTCCTTTACAATACTATGGATAGAGTGTGGAAATAATATGGATACAGTATGGATTTATAGTGGTGCAATTGCAAATCCCATAGTATGAATTTCACTATTTTTTCCAGTGTAATAGACATGCAATTATGCATGGATTTAATAACATTAATTTAAGCTAGGGCGACCCAGAATTTGCATGCAGTATATTGGTCACGTGCGTTCAGCAAACCAATACATGCGTCTTTGGCGCTACTCTCAGGGACGTCGCTATAGGGGGGAGGGGTGTAGGGGGTGTAACACCCCCCCCCCCAATAATTCAAACGTTGGTCAAAGTTGGTCAAAATGGAACTGATATTTGCCCAAAGTTGGTCAAAATGGAACTGATATTTGCTTAAAATTGAAGGTAAAACTCGGAAAAATTTGGTAAAAGTTTGGGATATAAGATTGTCGAAGTTGTTAAAAGTTATGAAATGGTTCGCACTTCTAACAATTTTAAAGCTTCAGTTACGTTTGCGATGAAAAATCGGAAGCATTGCTTATGTTGGTCAAAAAATTTCGAATATTCTTATACTAGTCCGGAAAAAAACTTTTTGACTATATTAGTCCGGAAAATTTTTTTGACCTCCCCCCCGTCGACAACATTTCCGGGAAAATTTTTTACGACTTGGTCAAAATCCTCGGAAAAGTTGGTCAAAACATGACGACACCCC